AAACAGAGGGAGGCAAACCATTACAGACTCTTAAGTACAGAAAACAAACAGAGTTGCTAGAGGGGAGGTGGGTGGGGTTGAGCTAAATGGGTGATGGGCATTAAAGAGGGCACTTGTTGAGATGAGCAATGGGTGTTATACATAAGTGATAAATCAGTAAATCCTACTCCTGAAACCATTATTATACTCTATCAATTAGCTTGGATTTAAATAAAACTTAAAGAGAAAAAGAAAAGAAAAGAAAAGAAAAGAAAAGAAAAGAAAAGAAAAGAAAAGAAAAGTGAGCATAGTCTGCCCCAGCTCTGGGCAGAAGAATGCTCCTGTTGTCTGTCTTTTTCCTAAACTTTTTTAAGCACGCACAATTGTCACCACCTCTTCTCTGGCCTCCTCTTCGCCATGATCCTAAGCCATCATCCTCATTCACACCTATTTTAAGTTGAAGCGGAAAAAGGGGCAGTCATGAAAAATGGCATGCGCTTAATAAAAACCTCTGCAACCATAGAAATTGTGATTTCATACTCTGGCTGAGGGTAATTAGTCTTGCTCTCTCCCTTTGGCAGAAGAATTTCCCTTTTCTCTGTGTCTCATGGAGCCCCTGGGTATAGGGCTAAACCTGTGATTATGTGGTCAGATGACAGGATCCTCCATGCTTCAGGTAGACCCAACCTTGGCAAGACTATCTCATCTGCTAGTGAAAATCTAGGAAAGACCACCAGTGTTTGAGATGTGGGGATGTGTAGAGATGCCAGGAGCTTCCAGATAAGGGAGCCTGGACTCACGGAGAATAGTGCAGGCCAAATCATGCAAAGGTTAGTGGTAGACTCTGGACAAATCACTGGGGTGGCCTTGGGCTACTTCCACTACAAATAGGATGCGGGACTTCTGGAGGGCCCCACTTTACTGAAGAGATTTAAAACACTTTTGTGATTTGTAATGTGTTAAGAAATGTAATGTGTTTAAAAATATTTTTTTATTACATGTGTGAAGAGGTCATTAAATGGTGGAATACTAAATGGTAAAATACAGCTGTATGAAAAATTTCCTTCTTAGCATATATACTTATCTCTTGCCCCAGTTTTATTAAGATATAATTGACATAGAACATTGTGTAGGCTTAAATGTACCATGTGTTCATTGGATACATGTGTACTTTGCAAAATGACTGCCACCATAGTGTTAGCTAAGGAGACCAACCCATCACATAATTATCATTTCCATTTTGTGGAGTGAATATTTGAGATCTTTTCTCCCAGCAACTTTCAAGTATGCCATACAGTATTATTAATTATAACCATTACATGACACATTAGATACTTAGAAGTTTATAACTAGAAATTTGTGCACTTTAACCAACACTTCTCTATTTCCTCCATTCCCCACCCCTCACCCTGATAGTAACCCCCACTCAACTCTTTTCCTGTGAGTTCAGCTTTTATGTATATTATCCTTGGTAAAATATGTCAGATAGAGAAAGACAAATACTGCATGATATCACTTGTATGTGGAATCAAAAGATGTGGTATATATATGTACTTTAGCTTATCTCCTTATCAGCATTTTCATTTAATGCATGAAAACAATACAGTAGGAATCAAAGCCCTTTGGCTCTCCTTTTTCAGTTGTCTTTTTCCTGTGCTATCATATGAATTGTATCCCCAACAAAATCTGAAACCCAAACCTCAATGCAAGAGCATTTGGAGACGGTGCCTTTGGGAGTAAAGAGGTTTCAATGAGGTCACAAGGGTGGGGTCATGAGGTTAGTGCCTTTAAAAGAAAACATCAGGGCGCTTGTGGTCTCTCTCAGAACCACGTGAGAACACAGTGGGAAGGTAGCTGTCTGTAGAGCAGGCAGAGTCCTCACCAGAATCCAACTATGCTGGCACCCTGATCTCAAAGCATCAGCCTCCAGGACTGTGAGAAAATAAATTTCTGTAATTTAAGCCACCACATCAATGGTATGGTATTGTGTTATGGTAGCCTAGGCTGGCCAAGACACCCAGCTTTTCTTTCCCTCATTCTCTTTCTACCTCTGTTTACACAATTCTCTCCTGGGAGGGCAGAGACAGAGGATGCAGACCTACTAACAGTGACTGCCTGTGTAATCAGTCCTGCTGTGTCTTTACCCCTTTACCACTGGAATCAGATGAACACATTATTCCACATCTACTGCATTATTAAAAACAAAACAAAACAAGCACTTTTGACCAGTTTGCCTTCCGTAATGGCACTAAACTCTTTTATTGTGCAAATTGGTAGAAAACTACTCCTGCAAAGAGAGGAAAAACTAGAGCAAGAAATGATTGAAGAAGGGGTCAAAGAGAAAGAGGACAGGCACATACAACAGGGAGGGAGGCTCCAGAGGGCCTTCTCCATCCCTGAGCCTTACCGATGCCCAGCCTTCCCTATACTGCTCACCGTTCCTTTCCTTCTTGTCTTTTTACTGCCTCTTGCTGCCACTTCCTGTCTTTCCTCTTCTGTAGGAACTCACTTCAGCCCCTAAGAACCCTTTCTCCCAGCCCAGGATTTTACGCATCCACCTTCAGGGGTAACAGAGAAATGAGCTGTGCACTACTGGTCGAGGGCCAACAATCCTCACTCCCAATTAACAACTGTTCAGGTTAAATAGGACCATCTACGAGGGACCCATCTGCACCTGGGTTTCAGAAAGTGCTCATCCAAAAGGAAACTCTGGCCCAACACTCATGAATAGAAATCTGAGAGCCACAAATGCATGCCACAGGTGATATTTTAAATTTCTAGTAGTCACATTTTTGAAAAGGTAAAAATAAGTGAATAATTTTTAAAAATATATTTTATTAGGGCACCTGCGTAGCTCAGTTAAGCATCCGACTCTTGATTTCAGAGGGGGTCATGATCCCAAGGTCATGGGATTGACCCCCACATCAAGCTCCACGTGCTTAAGATTCTCTCTCTCTCTGTCTGCCCCTCTCCCCTGCTTGTGCGTGCGCTCTCTCTCTTTCTGAAAAATAATAAAATTTATTTAGCACAACATATACCTAAAATATGGAACCAATTTTTACAATAGAATGGCATATTTCACATTTCTTTTAAACTAAGTCTTCAAAATCAAAAGTGTATTTTATTTCTTTTTAATGTTTATTTTTGAGAGAGAGAGACAGAACATGAGATGGGGAGGGGCAGAAGGAGAGGGAGACACAGAATCTGAAGCAGGATCCAGGCTGTCAGCACAGAGCCAGACACAGGGCTTGACTGAGGTGTAGTGAGCTCATGACCTGAGCCAAAGTCAGATGTTTAACAGAATGAACCACCCAGGTGCCCCTCAAATGTGTATTTTACACTTCCAGTACATATCATTTCATATAGCCACATTTTATTGTTTAATGCCCCATGTGGCTAGTGACTACCATATTAGACAGCATAGCTCTGGTCAGATTAAAGGAAAGGTGTGACCCTGGTGTACCAGCAGATAATGAAGGCCTCCTGCCAAATGGACTGACTCTCCTGGGCCTGAAAGCACAGCCTATCGCAGAGACAACAAACTAAATGCTCCTTTGAGATGTGGAGATGTTTTCCATTGCTTTTAAAGAAAGGTACATCAACTACCATCTCCATAAATATTATGTTAAAATTTCAAAGATTCAGAACAGAAACATCTCCATAGGTTCTTAAAATATTGTATATTGCTAATAAGAATTTCTAAGAGCAGAGAACAGCTTGATCTTTTCCTCATCACTTTTATAAGGTCAGAAGCATCCTTCCCACTGTATAATTCAGTGCTCAAGCTTTCATCTCATGATTGCTTGGGAAAATTAGAAAAAAAATGCAAAAAAAAATTGTATTTGCTGAGAAGATGATATTCCCCTCCTGCATGGAATATCACAGCAAAGCTGCCCTGTCTTTAGCAGGTGTACAGGTACTATGTGGTTGGTTTACACCACTGAGTAAATGCTCAGTAAGGACTGAGTAAATGCTGGACCTTTAATTCTAATGATTAACTGTTAATACCATGAATTTATACACTATTAGTTTGAGTATTCCTACAGTGATATCCAAGTCATTGACATCCCTTTTTATAGCTAATGTCTTCCCTCCATTTAACTCAGGGAAATGATTTTAATGGTGGAAATTTCAGGATGAGAGTAGTAAGGAGGGGAGTCTTGCTACAGTTTAATAGGATAAGGTTTTCTTTCAGCAGGTAACTTTTGTGATGGTTTTGTGATGGTACAGGATTTTTTTTTAAAGGATTCCCTGCTATCAGTCACTAACAGTTTATCTCTTTGTTGAAGCTTCTCTCAACTTATTAAGGCTTTGATCCTTATCTGAAGGGTGAGAAATTTTAAAGCATAAGTTTTATGGGTTATTTGTGATTTTATGAAAGAAATGCTATAAGCCTTCAGACCTAAAGAGAGAGAGGGAGAGGGGGAGGGGGGGGAGAGAGAGAGAGAGAGAGAGAGAGAGAGAATCTCCATGGAAGATACTATGCTGTAAGTTTTCCTAGATCACCTCAAATTATACCTCTACCAACTCTAAAGCTGACTTGGGTCAAGTAAATAGCCTTTTCTCATCACTTCCCACAGAAGGGGCAATAACAACTTTTCTTTCTATTTGAGTTAAGATTAAATTTAAAGTATATTTCTACTTGATTGTCACTCTTGTTAAAGATTCTTAGGCAAAAGGATACCATGAAACTTGGGATAGCTGTTGTTTATAGATTCAATTTTCAAGGACGGTTCATTCCCATGGTTAATTAAAAGTTAAATGTGTACAAAAAAACAGTTGGCAAAGACTGATTCTCCTCCCTCTCTAGAGGCTTACAAGTTCTTTTTTCATGAGCACCCAGAATCTTTTTCCCTCACCGGATCCAGATTCCATTCTTGGTATATCTGACCAGATGACGCAACATCTGTGTTCCCTTTTAAGAACGTGAGAAATAAAGCTTTTCCATCTTCCCTCTCTTTGAGTTCTGGGAAATCCAATTAAAACTGCTCAGATTTTCTTTTTCTTGTTTGCTTTACAAGACAACCCTCAGGAGGAGCCCTGTGGAGGTCTCCCGCCTGTGGAAGAAGGTGATCGAAAAATTAACCTGATTATGGAGTTGTCGACGCAGGTGTCCCTTCAGAATGAAAAGATCACCCAGCTGGAAGAAGTTTTAGAGGAAAAGGAAAGAAAGATTCAGCAGCTGGAAGCTGAGCAGGGATCCCATCCTTTCCAAGAAGTTGAGGACTCTCCTGAATGTTTACAAGAAGCCCCAACTTGCCTTAATAATAGTATCAACCCTGTGGTCTCTGATGAGGATATGTAAGGATCCCCAATATGAAAATAAATGTTTATTTAGTGTCACCATTGTGAAGTCCAAAACCCAGCTAGTCTCAACACTGGCAAACTCAATTTCAACACGATGGGTTTGAATGTATCCTATAATGTGCCTGTTGGAAAACAAAGGGGAGTCTTCACAACCAATGCTGGCATGTTTCCCCTTCAGACATCAGCAGTCAGGTAACCCACACAATTGTGTGATACTACGTTTTTAGACATCCCAGATAACTGTAGGAGAGAGAGAAAAACACACAACTAGACAGATGGTCAAAAAACATAGTGTCATTTTCTTACTAGAGGTTTGTCACACTGCAAGGTGCCACCAATCCTGTTATCTGTGAGCGGCACATCTGTGAACAGAAAACTGCCATGGAAGGCAAGCTTCCAACTGGGAAACTGGGGAATGTTAAGGTTCTGAAGACTGGAATCATTGGCATGAGGTCTGTTTTTTCATGTCCTCTAGAATGTATTTCTTTATGGCATGTGCTTCATTAACATTTAGCAAGGGTTGAAATGACATAAAATCAAAGCAATAAAAATAAATAAAGAATGGATGAATCAGTACTGTGGCCCTTTGGGAAAAGTGCCCTGGGACAACATCTCCTTAGGAAAACAGACAACAGTGATTTTTCCCGTTGGATCAAAACTGAGACGAAAGCAAAATATACTCTTCTGTTATTATTGTATCAAGGAGGTGTGGACAGCACAAAATCATGTCAGAAAAAACAGAGGATGGGCAAAGGAAAGCTACCCTATAATTAATGAGTTACAAGAAATCATATCATATTCCTCTTTCACACATCCCCCTCAAATAAACTTTCCCACCCAAAGGGAGCAGTTCAGCACTAACTTTGGGGGAGACTTTGGTACTTAATTCTTACTGTTCTGGTACTGTATGAGTCAGACAAATAGCTCTAGCTGTCCCATGAAAATAACTGCATTACTACTTCTTGATTTAATTCAACCAGTTCAATAAATACTCCCTGAAACTCTTCTATCTACAAGATATGACAGAAGATGTTAGAAATGTCACATCAAATATGATAATCACCACCTTTATCATTCAAGAGTTCACAGACACACAAGAGTATTCTTAAATATAAGGGAGCTATGAAATGGAAGAGGGAATGTGGGTGAACACAGAGTAAACCTGATTAGCACTGCTTTAATAAAGGTTCTTAAATTTACTGAACATGAGTAATCACTAAGAATTCATATCCTGAGTCTTTGGTAATCCCCTTCTGGTAATCCCAGAAGGAGAATTGTTCCTTGCAAACCAGTGGGAGCAATCTTCGATCAAATGCAACCAGCACATAATCTGATTATGGATCCTGACTATGTATGAAACAAAGATTCCAAACCTGACTTAAGGAAAAAAAAAAAAAAAAAAAGGAAGCAATGAGTTTTGGGCTCATAATAGCTTTACGATATTGACTCTAGATGTTCACTGCAAAAAAAACTCATAGATTCTACCAGTAGGTTCTGTTTCATACAAAGCTAGAATCTTCCTTTATTTGCACATAATCTCATTATTTCAAATGCAAGGTCAGTAAGTATGAACATTTACAGTCAATGATCAGAAATGAAACCAATTTACAACTCCCTGATTGTGAATACACACCTACCCCAGAAAGTGAATCCAGGTACTTTTCCATGGTTCCTAAAGAACCTTTTCCAGGGAGTGTGTTTCAGCCTCTACAGAATCCACGTCAGAAATCCCTTTTCTCTGCTCCCTTCTCCTTAGCTCTTCCAACCCCAGAATCTCTTTGATCTATTTGTCTGGCCCTGACTAGGTCTCTCTGTTCCAAAATTGAGGTTTTGCCTATTGTTTTTTACAACATGGTCGATGGTTGGCATGTCCTCACTGAGTATTTCTATGAGAAAACTTTAAACCTTTTAGTTTCTAAAGAGTGGACTGTCTCCAAGATAAATCATTATCTCTACAATTTTGATCTGTTATGATAATCAAGTTTCCATCTCTTTATTTTACCAGAGATTGTCTTAATCCCAAGGGATATGGGGGATAGGGGGGGTGTGAGATCGATGGAAAATACTGAAGGAGAGAAAAGAAAATCCCATCAACATCCCACATAGGCGGATGTTAACTTCTAGGTCAATTTCCCCTGGCTAAAGCCCTGGCTAGCCCTCAGTATGAAAGCAGATTGATAGTGGAGATAAAGTAACAGGTGGAGCTGGAACTGCTGTTAATAATTAATTGAGCCCTTTCCCTCTAAATATTCAAGACAAGCCAATGAAGAAGAAAGCATCAAGGCTCCTATTCCCCCACAAAACCGATCTGGGTTATCTCAACTCTGGTCCAAATGAGGTCCAGAGGTCTCATCTGATCTCCAAATGAGAAGTGGGGAAAAGACTCTGCCCGAAGGTGAAAAAGACTGATCTCTACTAGTGGCGTCTTAATAATAAGAATTCTTTAAATATCCAGATTTTACAGCGTGGCGTGGGGGTGACTGGGGGAGGGGTGTAGTCAAAAGAGGTATTGCTGGGCTCTGAGGCATTCCTAAGTGGAAAATTCATGTTCCTAGCCGGATATTTACACCACTGTATGTCCTCAGAGTTCATTTCCATTTTCTGCCATTCCTCTGAATAAATGAATAGTTAAGCCTTAAATTGTGCCCAACACCTGGTTCAGATGAACTAATATCAGATTGCACCCCTACACTGGAGCAATGTCTATTTGCTTACAAGCAAGTTAGGCTGCTGAAATAGCCTAAAATCTTTAAAATATCTGGTGTACATATTATGAGACAAGTAGCATGCTGAGGACCTTACTTCTTAATGGAAATCATCAGGTAACAAAGCTGGTTGAAAAAATAATTTTCTGGATTTCCGGAAATCCAGATTATTAACACATTAAACAAGTAACTCAAGCCCTTCTCTAACATTCTAAAAACATTCACGGAACTGCATGCATAGTTTTAACTCTTTTTTTTTTTTCACCAGTCATTAACTTTTCTCAGAAGTTCAACTGAATGTGTGGTATGTTTAACTAATATAAATACATGTTGGATTTAATAATTTAGTTTCATTATTATGTGGCTGTGCTTCCAAATACTTTCATGGCCAGCTGCAGTTATAGCAAAGGACTTGCTAAGGACTATCAAAAAAGCTAGTCATTGGAGAAACCAGTCCAGAAATGTGAAGTGGGTACCCTAGGATTCAATGAAGTTCAGCAAAAGCAAAGAAATCATGATGCTTTCTGCCTAAATGCATTTCCGGGAAAGAATGAATTAAATCAAGTTTTTTAATTATCTCCTACACTCCTCCCTGCTTATCCCCAAATCCAATCATTTTCTTTTACTTACACTGAAGCAAAAAATTGTTGGTGTAATGCAACAAATAGAGAAGTGGTGATGACTGTTGCAGGCTTAAGTGAAAATAATATTTATTTGGGCAGTTTTCAAGTATAGTTACTACAGACAAAACTATCCTAAAAGACGTAAGAAAAATATTTTTAAAGGACTTGGTGAATCAAACGCCTGAGATTCAAGAAGTTTGTGGAAGGAAAAAGGAAATTGTAAAGAATAAATCATTATGAAAAATTTCCCCTGCTAAAACAACAACATCTTTTATTAAGATTTCCCAGACACAAGAGACCTTTTTGCTTAACAGAGGAGAATCAAGTTCAAGTAGGAAATAACCTTTTTAAAATAAAAGTACTAGTACACTGGGACAAAGTTCACAGCCAAAGATAGGGCTGGCCATGACATTTTCCTTACCTCACAAAATGAGAACTTTTATGGTAAAACACAACAAAATCAAAAACAGTTCTTATTCTCAGCTTCCTGAAGAAATTGAACATCTGGAATCAGATTCTCAATACATACCCAATAACATGAACCTGCAGCAAGATGACATTAAAATGTCTGATATTTTTATCTATAAGGTTTATATTCATTTGCTTTTTGTTTAACAAAGAAGATCCTTAGTACTCAAATCCCAAAATGTCCAATTCTTTATTCCTGGATGGATGGGAAAATCACATGACATATTATCTAATAACTTCTGAAGTCCCTTTTCCTAAATGCCACAAATAAGTCTTGCCAAGGGTTTATTATCTGATATCACCTTTTCCACAAAATGATGATAGCATAAGCAAAGGATGATAGGAGAATGGGAGAGAAAGATCTATCCCAGCACTAACTCTTTGTCACATGGTGTCCAAACAATGATAACAGTGAGTTCTTGTTAAAAGAAAAAAAGCTGGGGTACCTGGGTGGCTCAGTTAGTTGAGCTTCAGACTCTTGATCTCATGGGATCCGCCCTGGTGGGGCTCTGTGCTGACAGCCTGGAGCCTGTTTGGGATTCTCTCTCCCTCTCCTTCTCTCTCTCTCTCTCTCTCTCTCCACCTCCCTTCTCACTCACCCATGAGTGTAAATGTGTGCATGTTCTCTCTCTTAAAATAAACTTAAAAAGAGAAAAAGATGTTAACAAAATTGGTGATTTTGTAATAACAAGGTGTGTCTTAACACCTAGCTGCTATTTAAATCAAATTGGTATGAAAGAAACCACAAACAGTGGAAGCCCTACTGTCTTGTTAGGGACCTGCATTTACTAGCCATCAGTTATGTATATAGGAATATACCTAACATTTATATTTAAATTTATAATCAAAATATTTTCATAAGGATGATTTTATTTAATCTTCATGAGGTAGGTTTTAGCTATATAATCTCAAATTTACAACTAGTTAATATCAGAACAAAGGCCTATGGCCCCCAGCACTTTGTAATTTTCGTAACACTCACCATCTCTGTGTAGTTACAGAAATAAAGGCACTCACCAACTATAGCTCTTTCTCAGGTCAGCCTCCATTTCCATTTATAGGAAACATAATTTTTCATAGGTAATTTCCTTCTCAAGTTCATTTGACACCAAGAGACAAAAAGTTGTCTATATTCAATAGACCCATTTATTGGATTTAGCCAGAATAGTGTTTTGAGTTTTGTTTGCTCATTACATTTTGTTTACTTATTATCTTCCTTCCTTTCTTTTCCTTTCTGTTC